GCCATCATCAGTGGCATCATCAATCAAACCATGTGAGGCAAAGTCAACTTTCCCAGAAAGCTTTTTTATTTCGGGGACAAAAAGAAGGGGATTCCCTTCGACCATTACAATAATATCAAATGCATATATTTTACCTAAGAAGATTTGTTCCAGTTTTAAGTGGGGAAGAGTCATTAGTTAATTTCTTTATTTTAAGAAATTCTGGGAATTTTAAAGTTGCTGGAACTAATAAGATTCTATAAGCAACAAGATTTCTCTGCAGATCATAAAGAATGTACTAAGCAAACAAATAATAACACTTAAATATTTTATTGGAATTTTTAATTATTTATATATTTCTTGCCATGATATTTGATATATTTTCTCTTTACAGTTTTGTTCCGTTTTTTGGTAGAGTTATTATCCGTTTTTCTGATTAAAATCCAAAGCAGCTGTTCGGTTTTAATCATGTGTCTGCTGTTTTTCCTGAAGGCGCTTATCCGTGGGAATCTCAGAGGTGAGAAACCGAGCATTCGCATGCAAATTAGATTTTTTAATTGGCGCATAAGCGGCGACATCTCCGCCTGACCCCCAGAATAACGCCCAGCGAGAGTATCTGGCCCGATCTGGGCTTTTCTTGCGGATCTCCTCTGATCTCCTGCCGTTGGCGTCACCTCAAGGTGCTGAGATGTCATTCGCTTTTATGGTTATTGCGACGGCAGCTGCTGCAGTTGTGTTGCTGCTGCTGCTGTTGCTGCTGTTGCCACTATTATGTTGCTGCTGTTGCACTGCGAGTTGCTGCTGCAAATGCAAATTGCGACTGGCATTGGTCGCTCCGCTTGGGATGTTGGCGTTTTTGCGTGCTTAATTGAAAATTGTGTTTCGGCGCTTCTAATGAATGGGAAAGTCAAAGACGACAACGCACTGGCGGTTGCACAGGAAAAAATGAATCTCCAGGTTTAAATAAACATTAAGGTTCTTATAACTAATCGGAAAATACTTCCTTACAAGATAAATAAGAGTTATTAAAAGGGTTGAACCGATTAAAATGAATTTGAAATTATTTTTGCTATTTGGCATTATTATCACTTCACTTTTAGACTAACCTTAGATAAAAGAAAGCCATACAAAATTATTAATCCAAACCAATTTACTTTAATATAAAACTAAAATAATACAAATAATAATATAATATTGCAAAATTTTAAAATTAGGAAGTGCTTCTTTAAAACGAATTAAATATTCCAGAAAACTGTATTTAAGAGAGTCTTTGCCAAATAAAAATTTAATAGCTAATAAGCTAGTTTCAAATGTTTTTGATTTTAAATTTCAAATAAGAATTAGGTGATTGTCTTCGAAACCTATGTTTTATTTATAAGAAAAACATATCAGTTTACACTGAATACGCTTTGTTTAATGATTTTGATTTAAAATTGAAAAGAAACGGTGAACGCTTATGAATCCTATTTATAAATATGCATAAAGAGCTCTTATGAGCTTAAACCGAATATTTAATATTATCGATCAGCAGTTATGATAATTTCGTTTGTGCAGATTTTGCTGCCTTTTTGAGAAAACTTTTTCTATTAGAATTGAAGTTCTCAGCATAATTTTAGACCCCCTGCTTTTGCCCTGTGTGCCCTCCCATTGCGATCTGCGACTTATTAATGCCGATTAAAAGGCTGCGTCATGGGGGAGGGACGGGGGGCGTGGCAGGATGGGCCAAGGAGTAAAAAGGAGCAGCAGGAGTCGAAAGAAAACTTCCGCCCGAAGGGTGGTTCGATTTACTTGGGTGGATAAGGACTGAAGTCCTATGTTTCCACTGCCGCAGGCCACAAGAACACAAAATCTCGCCGAGATCTTGACTGGGCCGCCTTTTGTGCGCGAAGACGTTCGTCGGAGATTTCCCGCCAAAAAACGTACGGGGGTTGCACAACGGGATTTGAGATCCCGGATGGTCGGTGGTGGTGGGTTGCGATCGGGTGGGTTGCCGATGGGTTGGTGGTGGCGGCGGTGCTGCTGGGGTGGCGCAAGGACAACAATAAGGAGCCTGAGTCTGAGCCTGAGAGGGCGAAAAATAACGACGATGACTGGGCCAAACCGTGGGAAGATTTGCCGCACAAAAGCAAAGGAATCTTGCTGCGAAATTCCCTTGCAGCTGCACTCAAATCGCATTGAAATCACAACAGATCCGAGGCGACAACTTTTACCTTGATTGCCAATTCGAGGGGTTTTTATTTATTTCATCTCATTTTCGGGCGTAGGCATCGGCGACACTGAAATGTACTTAGCGTACTTATAATTGTTGTACTTCCAAAAACTCGTACTTATGCCGAACATAAGTTTGTTCGACTTAAGGATACCATTTATTAAAAAAGTAATGTGGTACTCATAAACTTTTAAGTTTTAATGTTATTTAAGAATATTAATGATCTTAGTAATTATTGGGTTATTTATGTTGCGGACACAAGTCAAGGCTAAATAGTTTTCTTTTTATTATAATATCAAATCAAATTACTTAAATAAGACACAGTAGATAATTAAGATAGTATGGATTTGATAATAAAAGCATTTGTATATAGATGTATTTTTAAATTACGTAAATTTAGTCATTCATTTAAACCAACTTACGCTTAAAAAAAAAAAAAATAATACCGCAAAAAAGGAATTCATATTTAAATTCAGATTATCAAAGTTATTTTTAAGGTTTATTAACATATGTTAAACATAAACATGTGTCGCCAAAGATTCAAAAGTAAGTGTTTATAAATAGCTAACTAACACAATAGTTTGATGCGATTAATTTGTTAATATGAGGGTAAAATCTTTCGCCAAGCAAAGGTTTACATCAGCTTGAAAAATAATACGCCCTGTTGGCCCGTAAAGTAAATGTCGCCAGCTCGACGAACGACTTAATCAACAAATCAGCGGTGACAATCTGCGGATTGTGTTGGCTGCTGACTTCCCATATCCCCCTACCCTCCCCCCTGAAAACACCTTCGCTATCGCTATGGATATATCTGTCTGATCGCCGATCTCCGATTTCCGATCACTTGGCCTACACCATTTTGGTTTCGTTTCTTTTGTCGCTGTCTCATTTCAATAACTCATTGTTGTTGCTGCCTCACACAGATACATCTGCATATGGCATATATATATATGTATATGTATATATGATATAGCATATGGCATATAACTTATAGCCGAACACCTACGTTCGGTGGCTTTTGGCTCTTTGCAGTGCTTCTCTTTCGAAAGACCCACGAATTTTGTACGAATCGCGTAAACGCGTTTATTTTCCCTGCCCACAATCACACACACACACTTGCGGAGTTCCTGGTGTGGGTTGGCTATCAGTGTGTGTGTGTGAGTGCGCCACTATTCGTTCATTCACAAATTGTGTTGTTGCTGCCTTGGCATGCTTTTGCCGTTTTTTTTTCTCAATTCGGATTTGTTTTGTAAACACACACAGACACACGCACACACCTGGACGGCAGGGCACACAGATACACTTACTCCTCGGCAGCTGCGTCGCAATCTCACACACACAAATACAAGCGACAGAGCGCTCTCTCTCTCTCACGGTGACTGCATCGGCATTTCAAGTTCACATCGGTGAAGTTGTTTTGCCGGCATTTCTCACGAGAGCGAAAAGAGAGTTTCAATAAGAGAGAGAAAGTGTATCTGTGTGAGTGGTGTGTCTGTGTAGCGTAGGTGAGAGAGTTTATCCGTCGATTTTATCCGGACCTTCTCCGCGACTTGAAATCTGCCAGCTAAGATTTTCCTGTAATATAATTTGATTTAAAAAAGTCCTTATTTATGAATCATGTGAGCTACGAAATGTATATATAACATAAAACATGTTCTACATTAATTACATGGTCAGAAGTGCAAATATACATTTGTAGGCTCTTTATACTTTGGCAAAATTATTACTATTTCAAGAATACCTTTAATCATTAAAAATTAAATACCTTACTTTTTTTTAATTCTTAAACACTAAGTATGAACCATAATATATGCTAATATCAAAATAATTTCAAAATAACTCAAACCACAGGAAAATGTATTTAAATTGTCTTATTTTTATTAGATTGTGGTTAAGGGTAGACTAGGGATCTACAACAATGTAAGTTTTAAAAAAAGGAAATAATAATATCGGACAGAATATTGTCAATTAAATATTTATTGTCATTTAAATATTTATTGTCATTTAAATATTTATGCAGTCCATAATTTACATTTAAGGAACCCCAAAAAAGGTTGTTTAAATTGGTAAACCAAATCGTGTATTTTGGTATTTGGTTTATTTCTTTTTATAAAACCAAATGATAGAAAATAAATACATTTTAAGAAAGCTTTTATATTTGTTTAGAAATTGAAAGGTATTTTTCAAGAAAGAGTAGCTTTTGGTGACTCTTATGTCAAATGTTGTAGTAATGAGACCTGAAAAACAGCCAAGAATAGAGGGCAACTCCCCTTAGGATTTAACCCGTGGCTTTTCTTTACTTTTTCCCCCGTGGGACCTTGCAAAAGACACCCGCTTGGATTCCGCTGTCTTATCTTCGCTCGGCGGTGTTATATAACGCCAGTCGGTGGAAGTGGGAGGCGCCTATTCGGAGCTCAACTCGCAACTGGCGACCCAAAAGCGCCAAATGCAGCCGAGTGCCCCCATTGGCATAGAGTTTTGAGCAATTAGAAGCCCACGCAGCCATAAACAACAACTACCAAGGGGGCGGGGGAGTGGGAGGTGGTGGGGGGAGAGGCTTTGGGAGCAGCTCCCACGGAGAGCGAAAAGAAAAACTCGAGAAATCTACAATGCACGTGCTGCTCTTTCTCGCTCTCCCTCGACTTTATCCGGCGAATGAGAGGCCAACACTCGGCACACACACACACACACCCGCAGATACACTCTGCCTCGGTGTGGGTGTCTCTGCCTGTGTGTATGTGTGTAATTGGTGTCGCTGGCGAACGAGTGGCGATTCTACTCAGAAGTCAGTTTCTTGCTGGGCAGTGTCGGTTCAGGTTCAACGACGCTCCGCTCCGCACGCGCTGCCTCGAATTCTTCAGTGCTGCTGAAAAAGCAAGACGCGTCTTTTTCGGCCAAAAATCTTCGTAGTGCGTTTGCAGACTCCCGCCCCCACCCCCCGCTGGCGCTCTCTCTCACCTCACCTCTCGCCCCGCTCACTCTCTCTCTCTCCCCGAAGAGAGTTTCAGTGGTTGGTTTTCGATTCGGTGGTTCGGTTCGCTGCTGCCGAAGCTCTGCCGACGCCGACGACGACGCCACGTCGGGAAAACCAACCTCTTGCAGTGGAAATCTTTTCGTACGTTTTCGTTATTTGTTATTCGCACGTTGACGCGACGAGACCGCGAAACACGACAAAACTGCAAGCAGCAATTGCAACTGTAACGGCAACAGCGGCAATTATGATCGCGCGTGCAACAGCAATACATTAAGTGGCAAGCCCTTCAAATGAAATATATGTAACCCAAAATATCCAAAACTAAACTTGCCAAAATCAGTTAAAACCAAGTGAAAAGTGTGTGTCTTACAACCCATTAAATAATATAAATCAATTAAAGCCGAGCAAACAACACACAATAAGCCAAACACGCAAACGCAGCATAAGCACAAATAATACATAGAAAAAGTGTGATATTTTGATATTAGCAATTAGAGTTTACACAACGCAGCCTAAAAAATATTTGTTAAATGTGTTTGCCCCCCGCAAGGCAAAAATTGAAAATTGGATAATGCTTGGATAATTCCCCTCCTACAAAAAAACCAAAAAAAAGAAAAGGTGAGTTTGCGAGATCGCTCAATTTGCCGACGGCTTAGTCATGCGACCAGCCAAAAAATGAAAAAAAAAATAGTAGATAAACGCTAGCTCAGCTGTTTGGCCAAAATGTGTCAAAAGCTTAGCTCCAGTTACGAATAGATCGGTTTACCATAACGGCCTCAGCGTAATATCAGATCGGGCTATATGTGCAATCGATTGCACCCATGAATGATGGACTGGACTGATGAGTTCATATCAGCACAGGCCCCCTCCGGTGGCATCATCTCATCGCGTTCTCACTCTCATTCCCATTCCCATTTCCATTCCGAATCCGAATCCGATTCCGATTCCCTATCTATATTGACGTCAACAGCGACTTGACATCGCCGATCTGCAGATCGTGTGCCAGTGGCAAATTGACGCACACAAAAGCCAGTGATAGAGCCTGCCAGATAGAGTAGACATAGACCCTTAGCCCCAGTTCCAGATTTCCAATTTCCACAGTTCTCCAACAGTTTTAGCCGCGCGGGAATTTTAATTGCCCATCCTGGCCAAAAGCGCAGAAGCCCATCCCATACCACACTCTCTCTCTATGTGAACTATGCCAATTGTCGTCTACACCTGAGCCGCAGAACTGGCCGGCTAGCTGACAAATTTGTATGCACGCGCTTCAAAAGTGCAATATTAATTAATTCCAGCAACTCGAGACACGGCAGCAACATCAACTGATCTGTATGCAGCAGAAGTTGCTAGTTGCTGGTTGCAAGTTGCTGGTCGCTGGTTGCAAGTTGCTAGTTGCTACTTAGTCGAGGCAATTAAATCGTATGTCATTCATTGGTAATTTATACCATTTAAAGGCATGTCGGTAGTGATGATGAGTGGAGAAGGGGTTGCCAAGGATAGTTCTTAGCTGATGGTACCAAGATGTTTTACACACTCGCCCATTAGCATAGGCTAGGTCATTCTATCAGTCTCGTATTACTGAAACCAAAATTCAGTGCTTTGCTTTTGACCTGTCTCCGAAACGCCAAACGCTTGATCGATCGCTCTAAACCGATTCCGATTCCGATCCGATCGGCGATAAATGCAACTTGCCATGAAAAGTGCTGCCTTAAATGGGCATTAGGCTATTGCACATTTCTCAATATGTCGAGTGATTTTTTCTCTGCTCCTCCAACGCGGCTGACTTATACGCACCGCACCTTATATGACGAACGGCGACGTCTGCCGCTGTCCCACTGCATTTGGCATATAAAACAGTCGGATACTCGGTGGTTCACTCGGTGGTTTAGTGGTGGTGAAGGTGGCGAAGGTGATGAAGGTAGTGAAGGTAGTGAAGGTAGCGAAGGTGTCTCAGGTGGTTCGCTGGCTCCAGACTCACCCGCACGACGCCATTTTCAGACCCCAAAGTCAACTGCAATTTGCATTTTCCACACAAAAGCACTTGGAGCCTGGCTCCCTAGGTGAAACCCTCTACCCCACCACACCCCCTCTTATTCGGTCGATTTTAAGGTCCCTGGTTCAGTGGTTAATTTATTTCTGACACAGCCTTAAATTAACAATTTTAATACAAACAACAAAAGAGCGCGCATTGAAATTGAGACGTTGAGCGAAATACAAAAAAAAAAAAACCACACACACAAAAAATGCACACAATACAGAAAACAAAAAGCTAAAAAGGAAAAACATAAAATAAATTTACAGCAAAACAAAAGCGTGTAACAGAACAAAGGAGACGGGCTGAGGAGCAGTGAAAGAAGAGGAATGTGTAAAGTGAAATAAAATTCTGGCGCGTTAATTAACTTTAAACGATTGAAAACGAATTGATTTGGAGAAGCCATTTGATTTGGATTAGTCGTGCCCGGTTCAGAAGACAAAAACCAAAAAAAAAAAAAAAAAAAAATTGAAGGTGGTGGAGGTGGACCCTCGGCTCAAAGGGTTAAAGCTTTTGGCCCCAGAGTTGCCAAGCCGGGCTAAAATTAAAATTCAATCATCACGTGTGCGTTAAGAGAGACACACAATCAGACAGATCATTGGAGATGTTAATTGGAATGCGTTAAACAATAAAACAAAGACTGCGATGTCTGCCGCAGTTGCCAAGAGACTTAACACCTTTTGGATCTGCGGTTAAAGCCGACATCTTCGACATCTGATAGGGCCCACAATATCGCCCCTGGACATGCGTCGTTATCATGCATTTGATAAACGTTTTGTTTTTCATTAGAGCCCCGCCGCGGAGGAGTTGGTATACATTTTAAAGCGATATCGCAGACGGATCACACCCCTTTAATTAGCAGAAAGTTGATCTCTAGTTTCTCGGAATTTTCAATGGCCATTTTGTCTTATATTAAAGCAGAGTTAAAACTAGATTGATTTATTAGATATATAACTCCATTTTTATAACTTTGGATAACAAAAAGCCCATTTATATGATTAATTTACATGTCAGATATCAGTATCTATAATTTAAAAACATTATACACACAAACACACAAAGTTATATCAAAAAGTTACTATCAAAACAAAAACTCATCATTATTAAAATATAATTCAAGTAGTCAGCAAAGATTAGCTCGGAAACTGTGAATGCGATAAAAAATAAATTTTTGGTATATCAAAGTTATCTAACTTCCTCCCACTGCAATTTATAGAAATTCCCCTGAAGTGAGTTATACATAAATTTAAAACAAAATTGTTATCTTCGTAGCCTTTAAATATTCCCAGACTAACACCCATTTTATCAGTCGTTTTTGAAGTCTGGGGTTTGCTTTAGATAGCCGAGTTCCCATCGCGGGCATTATTTAATTTTATATATAAAATTTCTTTCTTTTTTTTTTGGCATATCAGGCAACCGCACGCAGTCCTCAATGAAATGAATTATTTTTCGGTGGGGCCACCGCCGCAGCACGTACTTGAAAACAACTTTTAATCTCGAGTAGTTTCAATTAACGTCATTGGACTACATAGATCGCTGATTACGGATTGAATGAGCATTAAAAGTATATATGAACAAGTGCGGAATTGTTGGGCTGGGTGTGAGTATTGAAAATAGAAACGAAAACAAAGTTAAAATCGTGAGCGGAGATTGCGCGATTGCGGCCACCCACCGCACACGGTCGGGTGTTATCGGCTATATACGCACATATAGCCCCCCGATCCGGTGGGCTATCTGTCCTTCGATTTACGTCACAGTCGCGAGTCGCAATTCATGGATTTCTCGCCTCGAAAACCCAATTCTATTTACCGGACGCCCACTTTTGAGTGGGTGGCTGGTTGGGTTAGGTGATAAGAATGGGCTTGATAAGCAATTGGAGTGGTCAGTGGGTGTGTGGATCGAGTTAGGAATTTTACGGGGCATTGCATAAAGCCTCCTGATTATTTCTGAGTCAGCGCCAAAGAAATACTCACAACGTGCAGATCTTTCGATTGTTGTCGCACCGTTTTTTTGATTAGGCCAACTCATAAAAGCGGAAAACCTGTTGCTCACCAACAGTCCAGTTTTCCACCTGAAAATTTGCAACTCGCTTTACTGGCCAGTCCAATATTTTCGCTGAGTTTATAAGCGCAAATGTCTGTCGCATAAAACTTAATTGTAATGTTTGTTTACGAGCTCCACTTGCCCGATTTCATTTCCAGACCGAAACCACCACCCCCGAACTAATGGCAGCCATAAATCCAGCGAGTATCTCAAATATGAATTGCACTTTAATTTCGGATCTTGTCTCCACGAGTGCCTAATTTATGTAATACCCCATACTGTTTGTCATTTCACTTGGCCCGGAGGAAAGTTCCTTCAAATTTGTTTTAAGTAAGCGACAGCGAAAAAAACCGAATAATAATAATAAAGAAATATCTTCATGCCAACAAATCCATTACAGTCAAGTGCGCGACAACAGCAACAGCAAATAAATAAAAATATCCGAGTATGTATGGACAGAAAGGCGGACGGACAGACCGCCGAGTGTGTGTGCGTGTCGAGTTAAAAAAATTAACCGAAATTTTATTAGTATTTGCGCAAGCGCAAGCCAAAGTCAACCTCAAATATTTGACGACCAGAGTTGACCAAAAGAGCCCGACTTTTCAGGGGGCGGGGGCGGTGTCGGGGTCGGTAGGGGAAAAGGGTAAAGGGTGGGCGGGGGAGGCATCTGCATTCTCCCAGCTCCGCAGACTCTCTTCTTGCGGGAAGAAATGGACCTGGTCCAGAGACCAAGCAAAAGACAATTAGAGTTGACACTTTTGTATTTTCGGTTTCTTTCTTTTTTTTTTTAAAGATACCTAAGGTTTCTCAGTGATTAAGGGAGTATTCTCATGTTAAAGAAAATATAAAAAGCTTAAAAAGATTTATATATTATAATGTATATATGTTACAAGCAAAATTCAAAGCTCTATCTACTATTTAGATCTTTCAAATTTACTTTTGTGATGCTGATATAACCAGTTTTTTATAAATTCTCCTTACTCCCCCACAAGTTTAATTTGTTTTTAAATAAAGATTTTGTATTTGACATTCACATTTATAAACAAAAATATTTATCGACTTGTCGGAATTCATAACAATAGAATAATCGTTATTGACTTCTTAAATAAATGTAGATTTATGGCTTTGTTTTTAATACTTTTAATAGTGACCAGTTAGAATCAATTAAGTGGCATATTGAAGTAAAAAATACGCCATTTATTATAAAGTATATCAATGCAACTGGAAGGTAATGGGAAAACTATTAGGATTTATAGCTACTCTTTTAAAAAGTAACTTTAAAATGATTTAAAATTTTTAAAAGTGTCATGATGCATTTCTTAAATACGCATTAAAGGGTGTCAAAAGGTTTTTACCTCTTTCATATTAGTTCCATCAACCCCTCCCATTTTCCACCTTTGTTTTAGCGGCTTCTCGTGATCCCTGGATGCAAGGGTCTAAAGAAGATGTCCGCCGGTCCAGCTCATCTCTGCTCAAGTCAACTCCGGTCAGTTTTTGGCCGAGGCTTAGTTGTGATGATGGCGTTGACGTGCCCAGGGGACAG